CTCTCCTCCTGCCCTTCCCCGCCCCGCCCCAAACCGCCCTGGAGGCTGGGACGGAGCCCGCTGGGCTGCTGTGGCCCACTCGCCCCGGTCACCTCTCCCCCACTGCCCCTCCCAGAATCTCGCCGGGCAGCTGGGGCCCGCCGGAGGCCCCGGAGGCGTGTGGTCTGGCCCGCGCACAGGCGTGGTCTCCATCTAAAGAATGAATCCAAAATCCCTCTTCTACCCAGACCCTCTTTTCCAGCCCAGTGTGCCTGCCTCACGGGCGGCTGCTTGGCTCGCTCAGTGGCCCCGGGCCCTCGGGTGCTGTCGCCTTGGCTCCCTCCAGCCCCCAGGGGCCCCTCCAAACCTGACTGCTCCGCGCTGTCCTCACCCGTTTAGAGACAAGCCCCCTGTTCAAGGTCAGCCTGCCGGCCCAGCCGCGGACCGCAGGCCCCCTGCGCTCCCTCCGGCAGCCTCTCTTAGACCCTTCCCCTTGCATTGTTTCTTCCGTCTTTCCCCTCGCTGCCAGCTTTCTCAAGATAAGCATTTGCACTTCACGCGTCCTTCCGGTGCCTCCTTGCTCCCCACTCAATCCTTAGCCCGTTCCTGGCACGTCTGCCTGCCTTACTGTCCCCGACCTTCCTACTCCCTCCTTTTTCATTCTCTCTAGACCCCCGGACACCTCTCCTTATATTGTCACTGGTGAAGGGGTTCTTGTTTCCATCCCAGGATAGAAATCAAGAGAGGAGGCCAAACAGATTCAAAAGGAAGTTTACTGAAAAGCGGAGGGAGGGAAAGGAGGAAGGGAGGCCTGGCTGCACCGGGGAGCGCACCCTGACAGAGAGCACGGCCCCTGGACGGCTGCCTGGGGGGTCTGCCATTGCCTGGTGCGGGTGCAGACACATTGGTTTGGGGAGTGCCCGAAGAGAAACTTTAATTTTTAAAATTTTTATTTTTCACTTGAAGCCTGCAGTCGATATCCTTTTGTATTAGTTTCTGACGCACGGCATAGTGGTTGGACAATCATGTACGTTACAGAG